AAAAGAAGACATGCACCTCACTGAACTTATTAGTACTTATTAGTTAGGCCGTACTTATTACATCATATGAACTTATCTAACATTTTGTTAAATGAAACACTTGCCTGGAGAGAGAATTTTGTATGTCTATAGAGAGAACTTTGAATGGATTATAAATTTTACTGTTTCAATTATTTTGAGTTATTAATAGAGATGGAACAAAGCTTCTGAAAAGCTGTAACTTTAGCTACATCACCAAAGCTTTGGTCTGGCTGAATAATGAGCTGTAATTCAGCCTATGCCAACTGTTAACAATAAATGAATATTCTTTGTTCAATTATTGTTACATAAAATAATTGTGTATTAAGTTAAGTTCAATTGTACCTTATAATAAAACATAGTATAAATTTTTATTTAATTGAAAAGTTTGTGTGTATTTGGATTAAACTCTTGCTGGCAAAAACAATTCAATAATTAATAATATTATTAATTTAATTTGAAAGTTGTTAAGAAATAAAGTTACGTGTTATATTTTATTAATAATTATGTGAACAACTAGATGTTCACATAATTATTAATAAAATGTAGATTGTTTTAGCTTTTTAGCTAGCTTTGAATCTTTTGAAAATAGTGTAATTAGTTTTATTTTCTACTCGGAAAAATGTGCTAGTAATAGGCATTATTAAAAAATTTCTTTTATAATTATATTTCAATTAATCGTTATAGGTTTAATATTTCTTTTTTATTTATTTAAATATGTTAAACTGACAGCAAAATTCGACTAATTTCATTCTCGTTGATCAAGATTATCAACAATAAACATGCAGATAATTATCAAAAAATAAAAGATGAATAATTATTTCATATTATTATTAAATACCAACTTTTCTGTTACTACCAGATCATAGCAAAAATAAATGCCTTAATTGGTGATATTATATTTTTAAAAAATGTATAGATAAAAGTGAAAGTACCAGTGAAAATGTGGACTATTAATACCTTTGGTTATATTGGTCCTTTGAACCAATGACTAAATTTATTTATTTTCTTTCCCCGATTAAACTTACTGTTTACATGCTTAGATTATTAATGATTAGCTTTATTGAAAACCTTTAATCCTTCTGGAGAATAATGCTATAATGGTTTTTGACTGTATGAAAGATATTTTACATTAGAAAGTTAAAAATATGATGCATTCCTCTTGTCCAAGAAGTTTTTAGAGAATTATAGAAAAATTTTCACTTTAACCTATTGAAAATAGATTAGATTCAATAATTTTTTAATGATTTAAAAGCATTTTAAACAATGTCATATGTACATTTAATAGAATTTCATACTAAAATACATTTCTATGTATGTATCTTTGTATTAAAATCAACTGCACCATATGAAACTTTTTAACTCTGTTTTGCTCAGAATTATATTTGTTATGTTTACAGATTCAACAGCAAACTTGTTATGAACTATGTCCGCAGATAAAATAGATCTTTTCTATTAGTTTAGAAATCCATTTTTAAATGTGCCTATGAGTTCATTTACAAATCTTTTTCTTTTTAATAATATTAAAAAATGAGCATAGTTCTGTTGTCAAATATAAAAAATAAGCCTATATGTGCTTTATATATAAAACATACTTTTCAATGCTGTTATATCTAAACAAAATCTGTTGATATTTGTGACAAATAAATGTGATCATTGAAATTATTCAATAAAAATCACCTTTTTTATTTTTCAAAAGCTTTCATATTATGAACTTTAATTAATTTTGTCAAATAAGGGATATAATCATCACAACCTATTCTAAATGCTTGATTTGATATTCCATAGATACTATATGATTGAAATACCTATCAGGGATGCTACGCCTGCGCCATTTGCGACAAACTGAGACAAAACGGCATAACTGCGCCATTTTGCGACATTCAGCTCAGTTTCTGCCAAAGCTGCGCCATTCTGAGACAAAACGTCCAAAATTTGGCAAACCTGAATTCAGTTTCAAATATTAATCCGCATTGCCGTGAGTCATTGGAGATCATTTTGCCGTTCACGTCTCCAAGGGATGAAAGACTTCCACGAAAAAGCGGAAATCCACTTTTTTCTCCCAATTTTTAAAATTTTCGACCATGTTCCAAAAACTAAAATTTTTAGGGAGTCCAATNTTTATTTTTTTTACCTTAGTCTAGTAATGTCACAGCCCATTGCTAGCGAGAACATTCGTCACTAGATGGGGCAGTCATCTAGTGAAACGTCAAACTTTGTAATATTTCTTATTTTATATTGTTAAAATGTTCTCAGTAAATCACTTATATTTTAATTTTAAATGTAATTCCGATAAATTATTTTTCATTAAAAATACATATGGAAGTGAGAACTTGTAGAAGCATTTCATGAAACCAAAGTAAAAGCTAAACCTGAAAGCCTTTGTAGTCTTGTGTAACTTTTCCCCCGGCTCTTAAATTGTTCTCAGTATTAAATTATAAACCACTTTTAGCCAGTGAACCCAAAGTTCTGGTTCTCTGCATAAGATGATAATTAAAACATACTTAGTTCTATAGTAACTGTTTTATAGATTTTATTAAGGAAAAAAAAAGAGATAAATGAATAAAGTTAAAATACAGTAAAGAAACAAAAATACATACACAAAAAATTTAAACACTCATGCTAATGAAAAATGTTTTAGCAATTCATAAAAATATTTTGGTATGGGGTTCAATCAGAAAAACAATGAGTTATCACTGTTAAAAGATCTAGGTTATCCTCAATAAGAACTTTTAACCATTCAAGATTGACTTAATTCAGAAAACAAGGGGGGAATTAATAAATTAAAATAAAGAATAATAAAATTAACAAACAAATATCTCTCTCTTTTTTTAAAAAAAGATCATGTTTGTTTTGTGTGTTCAACTTAAGTTACATTATGTTCAGTCGTACAAAACAGGGGTCTGTCCAGACATTTTGTGAAAGGTCTGTTTTTGTAAAATTGTGAAAAAATTCCTCGTAATTTGTGAATATAAAATAAATGTTACATTCTTTCAACCAGGGTCCTGCTTTTGTGAATTTGTGCAAATAGGGTCCTGTTATTGCAAAAAACGTTTCCAGGGAGTTTTTAAATTGTCAAGAGATACAAGATTATGCTCAACACTGTAAAATTATATTTAAAAAAAATTAAATTTTAAAAAATAAACAGCAATTGCTGCTACTAAATTAGAGATGCAACATACAAATATTTGGTATTTAGTCAATACTGCTGAACGCAGAATATTCATTTCTGATGAATAAATGAAGAAACGTCTGACGAAGACAAAACTTAGTTCGTTTACATCTGTCTTTCTTTCCCCCCCACCCCCTGGGAAGAATTTATTTGCTTAACAAAACAATAATGAAGATAAACAAATTTGTGAAGGGTCCATTTTTAGGTTAAAATATTTTGTGAAGGGTCTGTTAACGGACCCAAATTTCTTTTAAACAGACCCCTGTAAAAACTGTACAACTCAGAAACTTGAAATTACATAGCTGTGTAGAAAAATTTAATTGAGGTAAAATAGAATTAACATTTACATTTAATTTTAATACCCATTGCTACTGAAAATACTCATTGTGTGATGCATCTTGTATTCTTAAGTTTATATATTTTCTTCTAATTACAGTTGTTTAATCTTTCAAATATGGGTAATAGTTCACTTATTACATAATTAATAAATTAACAAAATTTCTTAACCAAAATTATAATAATTATATATTTTATAAAAAATGATCAGATATTTTTTAAAAAATCATCGACTCTTGACCCTTTGCTGGTATAACTCATGATCCAGAATAGCAGTTACTATCATGCACTGTAGGGAAAAGCGTAAGGGAGGGGGGGAATAAAAGAAATACTAGCAAGCAGGTTAAAAAGCAAAACAAGCAAAAAGTGGAACCTCCTATTGTACACTAAAATAGTAAAATGATTACGATAATGCCAAAAATCTTAGTAATTTACAAAAATATATTTTGTATTATGTTTAGAACAGTGGGTACTTTATAACATCAATGATTGACTAAATTTAAGAAACAAAAGGGGTGAGATTAATGAATTAAAATTAAGAACAATAACATTAACAAATATATGCAAATTCTTATGCTAATGCCTTAGAATTTCATAAAAATATTTTGGCATTATGTTCAGTTGTGATTAGTTATCATCTGCACCTATTTTAAAGAATTTTTTTTTCTTTGCCAAGATTGGCGATATTAAAAGCCAATGTGGATTGTACTAGCACACGTAGACTTGTACTTGTCCTTTGAAAAATTATTAATTTAAAAAGTAATAACCTGGAATGCACCATCTTTTTTAACTTTATTATTTAGAAAAACTATAAAGATTTAAATAATGAGGCTTGAAAAATCTGAGACTACACTCTAAACAACACATGAAATAAAATAAAAATTTAGCTAACAATAAAAACAAAATATTCTAGCTATAATAATAAATTAATTCGAATATTTTTTTTTTACTCGTGTATCATTTAAATATTTTTTCAAAGCAGATTAAACAATTTTATCCTAGATATTTAAACTGAATTAAAATACTACAGGTAATACAACTGATGCAGATGATCTCCTAAAAACATGGGGTTACTTAGTTACTTTCAATCTAGGCATTTATTTTTTAAACACATGTAAACTTAGTTCCATAAGGTAACTAATAAAATACAAATTTTAGAAAATTGTTAAAAGTGCTAAATATTTGAATAAATATGAGAAAAACATTTAATGCAGACTGCGCTCTAAATAAATAATATAGTGAAGTTCGTCTCGAATACACAATACACATCTTGTGAATAAGAATGCTTAGTGACATGCATCTATATGTCACTAGGCATGTTTTCCTTCATTTCAAGTAGCATGAAAAATGCATGCCATGTATCTTAATATTAAAATATTAGAGTAAATCCACTAGCACATGAGATCTTTAATATTTATTGAGACTTTCTCATGTATAAAATTTAGAAACTAGTTTCATACAAATTGTATACACTACATAAAATAAATACTTACACTTTGAAAGGTAACTTCGGATCAGATGTCAAAGTTATTTTGAATGTAACTTTAGACCTAAAAAAAATAATTGGTGATTAACCCAAAATTTTATGTAATTGAACAAGTGTAAAAATTTAATAATTATTTCATAAATATATAGATAGAAAAAATTGTAAGTGGTGTTGAGCTTTCAAACTACTAGCACAAAAAAAGAGAAGAAATGGAATTAAAAAAAAAAAAAAAAAACAATTTCCCCCCAGCAAATAACGCGATCAATCAGTGGAGAGGTAGGTTTTCTAACTATTTCTAATTACAACTAACTATTTCTAACTTAAAGTATTACTAATCACAAAATACTCACATGGCAAAAAATATAACTTCAAGTGACTGCTTCTAAAATGATTTCCTGAAAAAAAGGGAGACTTTAAATAACGCGAAAACTTATGTGAAAGATTATTCTGTGAAAAAGGCAATAGGGAAATTAATACTGTATCAATTCTAGCAATACATAGTATATATATATACATTTCTTTTCGTTACAATAAAAACAAATGAACATAAACTACAAAAATCGTAAATGATGACAATATGTGAGAAATGAGACAATGACTAAAAAAAACACTATTATCAAACAATATTATAAGAAACAGAAAAAATATTACACTATATAGTTCAAAATGATTTATTTAATACACAAAAAATTCTAATTCATAAAAATTGACAATACCAGAAAACCACGTCAGTGAAAATGGAACTAGATCTATCGATGAAAACAATCAACCATCAAGATCAACAATCATAGGAAACTACAAATACAGTTAAAAAGGCAAAACAGAACGAAAAAAGATTTGCCACATTTTACGGATTATTCTCCCTGTACGGATTATTTTCACTGTATGGACTATTCTCACTGCACATTGCATCAAAATTCGCTAATCCAAATTCAAAAATGCAAGTGAGAGCCTGATTGGTGAAATAAATTCTCAAAATTTTGCTAAAAAGAAAAATCTCAGCAATTAGCTTCTTATTTGCATAACATTTCGCCATTCATGTAGTCAGTCACAACTCTACATTTTTATATCAGGTATGCAGTGTGAACGGTCCTTAAAAAAGAAGGTTTGAAGATGTGAAAAGGATCATTCTCGCTGATTGCGATTTTTTTTAATAACGAATGAGAGCCAGCTGATTAGTAAAAATTATGGAAGAATCGGAAAAAGATGGAAGATGAGCGGACTGCTACCATTAAAAGATTTTTGGGAAGTTAAGTAATAGACCTTTTTCACTAAATTTTTCACTACCGAAAGAGAACTTCATTAGCGAATATTTTGTGGATAAATATTTTCCGCCAATTTGGTTCTCATTCGCATGCAAAAGAATTGCAAGTTGTGATCCTTATTACCCACCTTCATCCACCCATCTACTTTTATATCCACCCATAGGCTAAACTGGGTAGCCTTCAGGACAGCGAAGGTCTATCCTAAAAATTCCTTAGCCTACACTGAAAATATTTGATTTTAAGAATGTAAGCTTAGAATGTATATATATATTATTTATTTTTTATTTTTTTCTTACAACGAAAATCCCAAAATTCTTTTTTTTCTAGGCAATAATTACAAACCATAGAAAGTTTTTTTCCTTACAAGTTTATCCTCTTAGCTGGAAACAAAATTAAGGCAGGCGTTATAAGTTGAAATTATCTTCGTATTCTCTAGTTTCAAAAGAGACTTCTGACATATTACCTTCCATAAAACTAGTTTGCACCCCTCCCCGACCTTTTAGAAACAAATTTTTGTTTCCCAGCGAAAAAAATGGGTTTCCTTTTTCATATGTTCTCGTCCCATAACACAAAGCGACGTTAGAATATATCGATTGCATATTTCTATAAAATTTCGTGTTTTCTCATTTGATTCTAATTAATATCAACAGCTGCGTTTGAGGGCGTCATTTAGCGGAAACTTTAATGAGATTTTTTATATAATATTTTGTTTCAAAGGAGAACTTTGATATTAATATCAAGTCAAAAGATAGGTGTTAAAATTTCTGAAAACATATAGATATGTTAAAAAATCTTAATGAAATTATTTCATTTTTTACGGCCACTCTATATAGTTAGCACAGTTGTCGCTAAAATCGATGATGATGCGAATATGATATGAGGCGGGTAAAAAAATTCTGTGTTGCCTACATTTGATGTATACTTTGTCCTACTTCAGTTTTTCGCATTTTTTCTCCTTTGTTTCCTAATTATCGTTAATAAATGCGCTTTAGGGGTTCATTTCTCAGTATTCTCAGACACTTTAATGATTTTTTTATAATTATTTGGTTTAATAGAGAACTTTGATATAAATATCAAGTCAAAGAATAGTCTAAATATTTCTAAAAACATATACGTATGCCAAAAAAATTTATAAAGCATTTTTAGAAATTTTCATTTGGTCTCTGTCACTTAGTTAGCTCAGATTTCGCTAAATTCGATGATGATGATGGAAAGAAGATGTGATTTGGGTTATACAATTCGCTGTAGCCTATATCTAAAGTATACTATTGGCTATTTCGGTTATAGGAATTACCCTCCTTTGTTTTCTAATTATTATTATTAGCTGCGTTTTAGGTTTTTTTCCCCGGGCATTTTAATGAACTTTTATAATTTTTTGGTTTAAGAGAGATTTTTGATAATAATATTAATTCATTGTATAGGTGGCAAAATTTCTAAAAATCTATACATATGCTAAGAAATATTTATAAGACAATTTAAATTTTTTTATTTTTATTTAGTCCTCGTCCTCCATATAGTTAGCACAGATATCGCTAAAATCGATGATGATGCGTTTATGATATGAGACTGGATGAGAAAAATGTTTGTAGTTTAGATTTCATGTATACTATTCTCTATTGCTGTTATAGGCAGTGTTCCCCGATGTTTTCAAATTATTATTAATAGGTACGTTTGAGGATGTTACTTAAGAGATACTTTAATGATTTTTGATAATTTTTTTGTTCAACTTTGATACTAATATCAAGTAAAAGGATGGGTGTTGAAATTTTTAAAACATATACATATGTTAAAATATATTTATAAAACATTTATAAAATCATTTTAGTTTGTTTTTGTCACTCTATATAGTTAGCACAGTTGTCGCTAAAATCAATGATGATGCAATTATTATAAGAAGCGGATAAAAAAATTCTGTGTATCCCACATTTAATTTATAATATGTTCTGCTTCGGTTATAAGCATTTTTCTCTGTTTTCTAATTATTATTAATAGCTGCATTTTAGAGGGCCATTTAAAAGACACTTAAATTATATTTAATAATTTTTAGGTTCACAATAGATGTTTGATAATAATATCAAGTCAAAGGATAGGAGTCAAAATTTCGAAAAAATATGCGTATGCTAAAAATAATTTTAAATACTTTTTAAAAATTTTGTTTTGTCTCTTTCACTCTGTATAAAAAGCACAGGGGTCACTAAAATCGAAGAAGATGCAATTACGATAAGAGTCGTGTGAAAAAATACTGTGTATCATTCATTTATTGCATACTATTGTCTATTTCTTATATTGGTATTGCTCTCCTTTGTTTTCTAATTATTATTAAGAGCAGCATTTAAGGGGGTCATTTGACTTATAATTTAATGATTTTTTTCGTTCGAAAGAGATTTTTGATAATAATATCAATTCATTGCATAAGAGTCAAAATCTTTTAAATTATATAAATATGCTAAAATATTTATAAAACAATTCAAATGTAATTATTTAGTCTTTGTCCTCTATATAGTTAGCACAGTTGTCGCTAAAATCGATGATGATGCAATTAAGATATGAGGCAGGTTAAAAAATTCTGTGTAGCCTAGATTTGATGTATACTATTGTCTATTTCAGTTATAGGCATTCTTCTTCTTTGTGTTCTAATTAATAATGGGTCATTGAAGGGGTCATTTGGCATGCACTTTAATGACTTTTTTAATAATTTTTTGGTTCAACGAAGAACTTTGATAATAATATCAAGTCTAAGGATCGGTGTCAAAATTTCTAAAAACATATCCAAATGCTAAAAAATATTTATAAAATTTTAAAAAAAATTGTCTTTGTCAGACTATATAGTTAGCTCACGTGACGCTAAATTCAATTAGGAGGCAAATATGGTATGAAATAAATTATGAAATTCTGTAAATAAAACTATTATATTAATTTTCTTCATTTTTCTCTTTTATCTTTTTGTATTTATTTATTGTGCTATATCTATCTATCATCTCACTCTCTCTCTCTCTGTATATATA